TAACCTTTGCCTTCCGCGGTCCTGTTCAACACTTAACATAAGTGCTAGTGTAATCCTTCAGTCAAAGACCAACTGAATCGAGAATACACTACAGTCTTTTTCCAAGTGGGGACTCACTGCCAGTCTACTGTGAACGAATAGTTTAGTCTTATAAGGAACCGATAGGTGATCTTTCTGTCCGAAACTCTTCGAACCATATTACCTCAATATAAGACAAGGAGTATGTATTGCATAAATAAATAAACTACAAACATATGTACTTTGACCGAAACATGATGGCCAGATCAAAATAGAATTGATAGAAACTGCAAAACATCGCTTCTACAGCATACCTCTAACAGATCTGACTTTGAGAATTTGGGGATGTCGATCTGAATATCCCCAATATAAGGTTAGCTAAAAAAAATGATTTTCAGATTTTAAGCAAAGAAGATGATGTCCTCGTAAATACCATGTCAACCAGAAAATTTTACCACGTAGGAGCCAAGCTGATCACGCGGACAAAAAATATCGACGCTAACAGGATTTGTGTTTAGGTTGCAATATGCAAATAAGATTATACTTTGTTTGATTATACTTTGTTTGCTAATATTCAAAAGTTCGGTTAAAATTGTCAAAAAAAATAAATGTAAAGTGGTGATATTACCTTCAATTAAGCCAATCAAAAAATGAGCACATCCCATTGTGTTAAAAGGCTAAAATAGCACAAACTGCGGATGTAAATTTGTGAAACAAAAAAGTTGTAGGGGCAGAAGAGCGAAACAGAGTAAAATGAAGGTTTGAAACCAAATTAAAATTATTGTTATCCACTCCCTCCCCACCACTCGCACCCATCGCCCTAATAAATCATCTGCGCATAGCATAAGATAGCAAAACTGCACTTCCCTAACAATGGCGACGCTAGCAGCTGCACTAGGCCCAGTAATGGCCGGCATGTCCATGGCGAAACCCCGAAGCTTGAACAGAATTTCATTGAGGAGCTCAGAATCGTACCAGGAAATTGGTTCGCTCGCGTCCCAGTTTAGTGGCGTCAAAATCTCGACAACCCACTCTCCGAACATCGCTCCTGTTCCGTTTATAGTGCCGCCCAGGTCCCTGCGGACTGTTGCTAGTAATGTTCCTCACATTTATCTCCATTAATGCGTGTTTTCTATATAATTTTTTTTATCGTTTTTGGGGGATTAATTCCTGTATTTCATATGAAAATTGTGTTTGCTGTTCGTCTCTTTATCTGTGTGCGCATGAGTTCCCTTTGTGTTTATCTTGATTATTATACAATTACAAGAAAAAGTAGTATGTATGTACCGTCTCTGTGTGCCCAGGTTGTTGTACCCTGTGCAATGCGGGTGATACCTATGTTTGGCATTTGTGACATGCTTTCTAACACACTAAGTGATGTTTACTGGTTTTTGCTTCTGATAAATGATGTTATATGTAACAAAATTATCGTTGTTTTAGATTAATGATATATTCGACGTTTCTCTACATGCGTACTCCAGTTTGCGGATGAATGTTCAAACTCTGTTGAAAATGTGGATAGATGAAGTTTGTTATTATTTTCTGAGGCATTACAGACCTAGCGTGTATCAGTGCGAGCATGTTCATGTTTTTCGAAGAGTTACAGTATGATAAGTTGATCGTATGTTTTATTTTGATGATGCGATCGGTTGAATCCTTGGGTTTATATTCAGGTAGGGTTTGCCCTTTCACTGGTAAGAAATCGAACAAGGCAAACCAGGTTTCTCATTCGAACCACAAGACGATTAAGAGACAGTTTGTGAACCTGCAGTACAAGAGAATGTGGTGGGAAGCCGGTAAACGCTATGTGAAGCTACGATTGTCGACCAAAGCTATAAAGACCATTGAAAAGAATGGACTTGACGCAATGGCTAAGAAGGCCGGAATTGATCTCAGTAAAAAGTAATTCTGGTCGTGAATTCTTCTCCTATCAGTGGAGAACAGGGGAAAACGTCAGAAAGTAAAAAAAAATATAAAAAAAATCGATGATTTTGGTTTTCCACAAGTTCTTCTGTTCATTTTTATGCTTGTAGCTTCTTTATCATTTGTATGAGAAATTCTACTGCTGTATGTTTACCTTCTACCTTGTTTTGTTCTTTGTACAATTTATTAGCAGTTGCATGGATGCTTTTCCCATTGTGAGCCCCTCGAGAAATTTGTTCTTTCATTAAAGCCTCAAACATTTTCAAACGATTTATCCAGAAATCCCCCTATATATAATTCTCGAATGTGTTGAACTTAAGTGGCATGCTCGCATACTTCGGATCCTATGTGACGATTTTTTATGCTTTGTTATTTGGATTGAATAAATTTTAATTTACTCTTAATCAAAAAATAATTAGGTTAGAAATAGCCATAAATATACTAGATATTTATGGTTTTTTTTAATAATATTAATATTATTTCATATTCTAAACGTGATTTATAAGACATAATTTTTTTCCCCAATTTTTATTATTTCCTCATTTTTCTTTTAAAATTATGAAAAAAAAAATTACAAACTTAAACTATAATAAGTAGATTTAAAAGTTAATAACTTTTTCATTTATTGTCAATTTTTTTAATGCATAAGATATCAAATTAATCATGTGTTGATGAACTTGGATTTGATACTTATATTGTACATACAAAATAAATAAACAATTATATTTATTTTATAAGAAAAATTAATTTACCAATTAATTAAAAAATAAAATTATTTAAATCAATTTAACTACAAAGTTGAAGTTGTTAAATGGTATAATTTTAAAAAAAAAAAATATATATTATAATATAAGTCGGTAAGCCGTATAAGTGCTGCATGTATTTTACATAAATAGTAATACAGTTATTTCAAAATGTCTTTGAAAACTAAAATATTTTTTTTTTATTATTAATTTTAGTTTTAAATATATATTTCTTAACAAACACTCGTGTAATACACGAGTATTGTTCTAGTTTAGTTATATTACAGAATCTGCAGTTGGACACAGATGAACAGATATTTGGGACTATATATAACTTTCATAGATGATTGAGTCATCTTCTTTTTACAGATTATATTCTTGTCATTCATTTGCAGCACAATGACTTAAAACTTTTTACCTGCCTTCAAATAACATATCAACATTCAAGTGTTTTTATAAAAGCAACCCAAAAAAGCAAAAAGAATGGTGGTTGTTTTCATGGACAAAAACACTAATTTCAAAGAGACTCGAAACCACCACATCATCTGAAGGGCTCGACTGGCTCGGATTCTTGGAGCAAGGCGGCGGCCCCAAAACATTCAGCTGCATCCACAGTTGAGTCGGTTTTGTAGAGCAGGCCAAGGTTGTACCAAGCTGTCGAGTTTATTCTGTCCAGACGCAATGCATCTGTCAGGAAGCTTTTGATTACAGGCAATGACTGCCCTCCGATTTTCCGGAGGATTGTGGCAGTTGATATCAAGCTCGGGACATGGTTAGGTTCAATATCAAGTGCTTTCTGGAAGGAGTTTAGAGCATCTTTATGCTGCCCTTGGGCTTCATGGAGTAATCCTGCCAAATCAAGATTTTCTTTAAGTTTTTAGGATTTTCAATTTTTAAAGAGACAACTCATTGATTATCTTAGTCATCTAGCAATTGAATTATATAAAGAACAAGATATACCTGCTGCATGTAATCGTGATGCCGAATGAGGATTGATGGCTTCGGATTTCGAAATGCATATCTCGGCATCTCGCCATTGAGATAAGCTCGTATACACATTTGCCAGATCATGCCACGTTTCCATTTCTAGACTTGATCTGTTATGTTGCCTTTCCTGTAGGATGAAAATGGTCCTTTACAGATTATTAAAGACGAACACGACAACACAAGGAAGAGAATGCAAGTAAAAATCTGGAAGAGATTTAATTTTATGCCAAAAGCTTCTCCACTTAATATTATGACCACAAAAAAGTTAACAAACAAGTTTCAGAAAAAAAAAAAAAAAAAAA